TTTATCAGTCAGATTCTGGTGGGTGTTCTGAAGAAAATAAAAGGATTGACATTTATAATGTTATTGAAGATTTTTAAAGTTTAATAGTCTTTTGTGGTGAAATATTTGTGGTTTTTAGCTCTTCCTTTTGATTTTATTTTAAGCCTTTAATAACCTGAATATTTATAATGTCCTTTAACTTCAAGGTCTCTTTGATTTTTCGTTCATGTTTTAAAATTCACCTCAAAAGATTGCATTCGCATTAAATATTAAAATAAACATGAAAATAAGTTAAAACCTGGTTTAGTTTAGAACTTTGATGTTAGCTATAATGTTTTTTTTTAGAAAAGCAAAACAGGAAATCTTGAGTAAAATGTAGTCTTATGGATTAAAAAAAGATTGCTCAAACCTGCATCAGTTAGTAAAGGGAACAGGTAGACAATATTTTTTGTCATTTATCCCTGAGGAAGGATGTTTAAGGACCATGTCGTTAGGGTGTTCTTCTGTCTGTATGATTTTCCTTTAAAAATCAAAACTTACCTAGGGGATATTTTCTCTTTTTTTTTTTATCATAAACATGTATGAAATAAGGGGAAAATAGACCCCTCGTAAAGCTTTATGTAAATTAAAGAAACCTGCCATAAAGGAGTAAGTTCGGTATGGGCCATATTTGGCCCCGATTATAAAGTTCAATGTTACAAGATAAAAAATGTTTACATCCAAAATAGGCCAAGATAAGAGATTTTGGCGAAATTTTACAAAATCGACAGGATTTCAACCAAATTTAGGACCAGGAAACATAGCTAGAGCGCAGGCGTTGACAAACTAAATATTCAATTTAGACATTAAAGATGTCTTTACAAACATTATATTAAAAGATCTTTTTTGTCAACGTAATGTGCGCTTTATGTTTCCTGTCCAATAATCAATGGACATTTACCATTTTCATTGATTTTTTTGTGGAAAATCAAAATGAGTCCTCATAATTTGTGACATCATGAATAAAACGCAGGAATGTAAATTTTCCACAAAAAGGCTTGTTTCCTATCTAGTCACTGTATTAGCTTATTTAGCTATGATTCATTGTGATATTGGTCAATAAATCCTAATTTGAAATTTAAGCTAAAAAAGGGGGCCATTTTGGGGCCTTATTGAACCTACTCCTTTCTATGCTTTATTGAATACTGTAGTCACAATAATCAGACAAAGTTTTATGGGAAATAAATGCGGGTAGAAAATAGTAATGACAATTGAACAGAGCTGTAATAAAATCTTTTATATATACATTACAAGAGATAACAGGAATCAACAAAATTACTGCATAATACATACAATGAGGTGGAGAGGAGGGAAGTGGATCGTAACCCTTGGCTAGCGAAGATGAGTACATACAATGACCCAAACAACATAGTACATACAATGACCCAAAACAGCATAGTACATACAAGACCCAAACAGCATAGTACATACAATGACCCAAACAGCATAGTACATACAAGACCCAAACAGCATAGTACATACAAGACCCAAACAACCACCAACACTCAACCAGTTTAATGCTCTAACAAACTTCCCCCTTTCCCTATTTAGACTATTATGTCACAATCTTAAAAAATGAGAACACTATACTAGAAAATATGCACAGTCATGACAGTGCACATGCTAATTTTTGGGAGTTAAATTTCCCTACAACATATTGTACAGGACATGCATTTGTGATTCATCAATTGTCAGTTGTCAATTAAAATCACAATAATAAATAGTCATGCATTGAAAATTTAAGATATGTCATTTATTCAATGTTTTTTACTCAAATTGTTTGTAAGATTATTGTAAGATGATTTGAAAATGTATTAAGATCATGCAATTGTTGAAATCTAGACTAGAAGATGAACAAAGAATTAATTGTTACAGGCAATGATCAGAAAACAAACATGGCCATTTGATCATCCATTTGTTTAATATTTTGGATACTAATGTATATGTTACGCTCTTGACCTAATTCATAAACATGTTTAGAAATGATCAGAATTAATTAACAGGAATGTAATATAAATGCTGACAATCAGATTAAGAGATGAACAATTGACGAAATCTCATAGTAAACAATCGGTATACTGAAGCGGTCACCGAATCAAAGTTCAGTTGTGATACACGATGATATATCTATGATCCACCCCTGAAGCTATCTGTGTAGATCTTGTAATAAGATACCCTTTAACAAATATGTATGTTTTGAAAGATATTTTTTTGTAGATCTATATCTTTTTTATTGTTTTCTTGTATGAAAAAATGTATGATGACATTGGAGTAAAAAATTTAGCTCCTAAGGGCATTTGATGAAGGTATTTGTATTGGACACTTGAAGAAGTATAATAAAAATGTATATTGTTCTGTGGAATGTTCATCTATATTCTGATATAAACAATGAAAATTAGGTCAACCAGCCGACTCCCTCTTTCATTTTTTAATTTGCTCTCACTCCAAAGTCCTGGCCAATCATCCTGTTTTGAATCTCCATTCTCTCTTAATTTGTTCTGGTGTCCGCCAAGAATTCTGTTTTCCTTTTCTCTATTAATTTGTTCTGGTCTTTGCCTGATCCTCTCGCTCTTAACTTGTTCTGGTCTCCGCCAATAGAAAACACTGTTTTAAGATTAAGTGAATATGTACTGGTAATTATTTCTGGATTGAAAGACAGATGACTTGACTTTGGTCGTTCCATCATATCATGTCAAATGGAGTCGGGAAGACTTGTATATATACTGTAAAAATATCAGCTGATTTGAGAATTTCACTTCAAGGATACATGACAAACAATTCAAATTATTAATTAGCAAATCATTGGAAGAAAAATAAGTTCAAGTTGGTTTGCAATGTACTCACTTGAACATAGATAATATCATATTTTTATTTAAATAAACTTAGTAGGCCAAGACACAAATATAAAATTAAATCTTAAAGAAAAAACTCATAAATTAATTTCAAAATTTCTCGTGATATTTATAATGTTTTCTTATACTTATTTGCTATCTTTCAAATAATCCTAAATAGTTTTTGAGGAAAACGACCCCCACCTCTGATATTAGACACCTTTATAATACTAACTTATTACCTGTAATCTAAAGTCCATAGACAATTTGTATGAGCTGTCATTTTACTTGTCAACAGTGTTGTAATAGAGGGTTGTATAACCTAGAATTAATATCATTTTAGGGAATCCTATATCCTTATGTATGTATATATATAGATCACTTGGATAGATCTCATGTGAACTTAAGAAAATTCTACTCCCAATTTTTTAAATAATCATTTTAGGATATATGATAAATAAGATAAAATATATAATTTAGGAGGTTCACATATTTAGTTCAATGGGTATAAACAGCAAATTAAAAATATGATTTTAATGAAAATGTGGATACATTTATGTCTTGTTTCAATTTTCATGGTTTTAGAAAAATTTAGTACTTCATATGGGTACTTAGATACAGGGTTTCACAATTTACTCCTAACAAAAGTAATCAAAAAGTTGTTTTTCAGTTCCACTATTTAAATTTGTGGTTTCCTCCTACCCATGAAAATGGATATCCCACGAGTATTAACGAAGCCACAGTATATATATTTGACATATATTTTTGCAATGTTTGCTTGAACTTAAATACTCCTAGAATAAATTTTCAATTGTCCGAAATAAATTTAAGCTGTAATTTTGCCGAAAGAAACAATAAATCCAGAAGCTGTGTATTTAAACGATTTAGTTAGTTGTGTAACGTCAGCAGTTAGTAACGGGTTTTGTTAAGTCATTTACAAATATTGTTACGCCCCGAGTATAATTGGTAAATATTGACTTTCACTGATTTGTTACATTTAGCTTAAGAGTTATTGGCCTTTTCAAAACGTTTTGATGACTTGAAATGAATAGTGTTAAATGTTTGCATTTGTGATTATTCGTTATAAAAGTATCCTATTGAATAAAAACTAAAGCTGTTTTTTACCATTTTACACATGGTTATGAAAATAACACTATGTCAAGTGTAAGACGGGCGAATAATGTACCTTGAAATACTCGGGTATTTTAAACTGTTGTTACAGGGTTTACATAGGGGGAGGTGTTCTGTTTGTTAGTGTCTTAAGGTGGTACCCAACACCTTGACTTATATCAATTTGGCTCGTTTAATTTTCATAAAATTTTGACAAAATGTTTACTTTGACCCTTTGACAAAAATATAAAAATTTCAAAAAATTTGAACCAACCACTTTATCAGAAAAATTTCGTTGGTTATATAGCAGTTTGACAAACACTAATTTTGATCATTGAGAAGCTTAATATTTCCTAAACAATACAACGTGATTAAAACGTCTAGCTCATTTTTACAGAGTTATCTCCCTGTAGTGTTAGGTACCACCTTAATGTTATTATACTGGCTGCCAAGTGTTAGTTAAGTGGTGATACCTTCTAAATACTTGGAATTTTAGAACTGTTATTCATAATGCACTGTGTTCCCTTTTGGAAGTTTATTTTGCTCACATTTTCAGGACATAAGGTTTTATGACATTCGAGTACTGTGTTGCAAAATTTGAAGCTTGGGAAGAGACACAATACAATCTCAAATAAAAGAAAAACCTGTATAAATAATGAGTCTTTGAGTTTAACTAATATAAAAATGTTTAATTTGTTGCTCTAGACAATTCTGTTTTATATCTTTAGCAGAAGAATGTTGCCCTTATCAAAATGTTGAGATTTCTTTTTACATGTATTCAATTTCAATCAGAGTTTCTCAGTTCTGGTGAATTGTTTTGGATTAGGGGTAAATATATAGATAATTTTTTAATGCTTTTCTTACTTTTTTGAGGCACATGAGAGTAAAATTTTGTCCCCTCTGATATTTTTATCTCCCTGGGAAACTGTCAGAAATGTAATTTATTCTTGTAGCCACTGATTCTGCAAATGAAAATAAATGCGACCAACTATTAAATGTCCAAGACCAATGGAAATTTATATTTAAATTATCTATTTTCAGGTTTTGATCCAGTGATTCCAGCTCCGATACAGTTTGGTCCATCAGTGAAACCTCCTCTAAACAAAGATATAAATAGCAATCATAATGAAGGTGGAAGAGGAAGTCATGAAGAAAAAGAAAGCTCCACAAAAGGGGTTTCAGGTATGTTGTTACAACAATGTTTAATCAAAGGCATTTGTTATAAGCAGTAATTAGCCGGTTTGAAAGCATACAGTTAAACTCAATCCAACACTTCTTCTGAGACCATACTACTGATGCACAAAAATCTGATTTGAAAAAAAATTTAACCAGATTTGTTTTCATTACCAGATCAAGTTTTAACCCAACTTTAAAAAAATGTATCTTGATCTTAAATTGTTATTCAGTCATAAAGTTGAAATTTCTAGAGGTGCAAAAATATGCTTAACAAAATTATTTTGTTAAACAAAACTAATGCCTTAATGTTATGAACCTGAAATGGTTCCAGTAAGAACTTCCTCTTTAGAATTTCTTAAAACTATTATTGAAGGACACTAAACAGGATGAATAATGTTTCTTTAATTTCAATTTCGTTATTATAATGGTAAAACGTTTAAAAGTGTTATTTTATTAGGGAAACAGGGTGGAAAGTAAAACAAATTCTGAAATCATTCCTTGTTTTGTAACAATACCATGTAAAGTATTTGTTCTATATAAACACAATTTTTAAAATCAATTATGAAATGAGCTGTGTCTGATAGAAATCGACCTTATGCAAATGAATATCAATACATCTGTTAACTTATATGGGTTGAAAAAATCCCTACACTAAGTCTGAAACTGTTTGAAAATTGAGTTGATATAAAAACCCTACAAAACAGACTAAAATTAATCTTTTATTTCGTATTTGAATGTTCCAAAATCAATTTTTATACATGTACATGTATATGTGCACTTGCATAAGGTTGATTTCTATCCGACGCAGCTTAAATATTAATGTGTATTATTCTTTGCAGATATATACAAGGAAGCGTTTGAGAATGCTAAAACTACAGAGGAAAAGAAGTTCCACGGACGTTTCGATTTGTTTAAATCAGAACTACAGAAATCGTTGGAGAATCTATTATCCAGCGGTGTAAATCACAGTTACAGCAATAATTCTTGTAAGGGATTTTTCTGTGTAGATTAAGATTATTTTGCATAGATATATTGTAGCAATACGTACACACCTGATCTCTATTTGTCTGCCATTACTGGACATCACAAAGGTTCCCAAAAAAATGTTGATGTCAGAATAGAAAATATCTGAGGCCTCAAAGGAAAAGTGATTGTTGTATGATGTCAATAGTTCAAGTGTCACAGATTCTTAGGTCAAATGTTGCAGATTCCCGAATAGTGATAAGGTCTATTAGATATGCAAGTTAAATTTTTTATAAGGTGAATGCTCAGTTAGTCTCCATTGGAGTTCAAGGAGCCTGAAAAGCTATTATGAATGAAAAGAGAGATGAACAAAGGGAGACAAAAGTTTAGAAAAGAATATTATATATTTAGCAGATTACTACAAATTAATTCAGAGACCACCTAGAATAATTCCAATAGATTCATAAAAATAACCTGGTCATTAAAAAACACCACATCTAAAATTTTTGTGAAATTTTGCAGTTGGATTACTGTTGCAGCGATTTTTCGTGGATGCAGATAAACAACGAAATTTAAAGATCAACAAAGTACAAATTTTCTATTGACATATATATGCAAACTTTTTTTAAAACACGTAATCAATCCTCCTTATATTATTAAATTTTTTGTTAATCCATGAAAATAATGAACCCACAGTAATTTTTGTTTTTGAATGAATTATTCCCAGACTGTTTTTTAATTGTTTTAGAGTGTTTTAATTTTATATTACAGATAGTGATGTTTTAGTGAATTACAGAGGGAAGCTCAAAGATCTCATCGTCAGTCTTTCTCAAAGATTAGAAATTGTTATAGAAAGTAAGTGTATTTATATTTTCTGCCTTTGTTTTTTGCATGGAATTATCTCCCCTTAAAGTTGATAGTTATTTGTCTCTCAGTAAGCAGGGAAGTATAAGAAATAAGATGTGGTATGATTGCCAATGAGATTTCTCTTTACCAGAGACTAAATGACATAGAAGTTAACAACTATAGGTCACTGTGCGGCCTTCAACAATGAGCAAAATCCATACTGCATAGTCAGCTATAAAAGGCCCCCAATTGATAAATGTAATCAATTAAAAAGAGAAAAATAACAGCCTGATTTATGTACAAAACAATGAAAGAAGCAAATAGGAAACAGCAACAAATGACAACCACTGAATTACAGGCTCCTGACTTGGGACAGGCACATACAGAATGTGGCAGGGTGAAACATGTTTGACGGGTGCCCAACCTTCCCCTAAGGTTCATTTGGAGGTTTCATAAGTCTTTGAAAGAGAAAAAATTGTGATAAAACATTAAGTCTATGTTATGTGACATTTTCATGTAGAACTGCCCTTGCCTTAAAACTGTTAAATATTTCCTTTGGAAGGCAAGCTTGAAAATAACAAAACTCTAAATCATAGAGGAAAGAAATTATAATAAAAAGGAAGTTTCACAGAGTTAAATTGAAATGAAGAAAATTTATGTTTTGGTAAAATGTGCTAACATCTTTTATTGACAGGTTTTGATAGTACTTCAGATGACCCTTTAGAAACCTCACAGAAAGTTCGTCAGCTGGTTTCCAGACTGGTTACTGAAAGTGTTGGTGAACCACTCGATCTGGTTTGTTTTTTCTTAAATTTGTTGAATTAAGAAACGAAGACATATACACAATTATAAAATTAAGTAGTCAATAAAATTCTAAAACCCTTGTCCCTCAGAACAGGCAATACATGGTCCAGAAGGCCTGACTTGAAATAGGCATAAAATGTGGTTGGGTTGAACCAGTTTTACAAGTACAAAAACATCCCTCTTCTAAACCATATGTCGAAAAACTAAAACACATAATAAAAAACTAAAATTTCATGTAAAATATCATTTAGATTTTGTAAATATTTGTTTATTCCGCTAAATCATTTGCTCTGCTACACTTGTGCCTTTTAAAATCATCTGTTGTCATCTATTGAACAATAAGATCTGTATTAAGTTAGGCCTGAGTATTGATGTATGGTTTATGGCTCATATTAATGTGTCATGGGAAGAGAAATGGATTTGAACTGCATTGATTGTTATTAAAGTGATCCTGATTTGAATACTGAGCAGACATGTATGAAAAAAGTGAAAAGGGAAAAATATTCATATATTTTTTATTATGAATGAATATAAAGTACATAACCGTGCAAAGTCATTTTGATTTATGATGATAAAATTTATATGTCAGCATAAGCATTTTGAGAAAGGTTACATTATTGGAAAATATAGACTAGTTGGTATACAAAAGATGTTTATGTTCAAATTTAAATTGCCTCCTTATTTTTTACGCAGCAATTTGATTTTGAAAGACTTCGCTATTTTGAGTCAAGTAAATTTTCATATGACATCTGACAGATAAATTATAAATACCTCTTTTGTTCATTTTTATTGGAATTGGGAAATTTACCATAAATAATCTGTAACAAATGAGTTTTCTTTGAAAGCATATATATAAATGTCAGAAATAATTCAGGTTCATTTGAAAGTTTTGAAAAATTATGAATTGAATCATTTAACATAGCATCATTCATGTGGCATTAGGTCTGAATTCCTATTAAAGATATAACTTGAAATAAGAACTGTAGTAATACTAAGACGATATGATACATTTATATTTGTTATTGGGACATATTCTTTTTATTTCTATCTGTCTGTATGTTTATGTGTCTATCTTGCTCTCTTTATTTCTAATATGGAGTTGGTTTTGCTCATTGTTGAAGACCATAGGTTGCTTACATCCATGTCATTTGGACTGTGAGTTGTGCCATTGGCAATCATACCATATCTCCTTATTTTTATATTGCTTAAAATGTAGTTGTAAAAAAAAATTGAAAAAAAAATTATGAATTTAATTAGAAAAACAGGGGTTGTTAAGCAAAAATATTTAATGCATTGCCTTGGAAAACCCCTTGGGCTAACAAATTAAGAAAAAGTTGAAAATGTGAGTTGCATTAAAAGAAAATTTTCTAGATCTTTTTTGTAGATCTATACTTTTTATAAAGCAAATTTTAGGCATTCCACATATTTTTAAATTAGTTTAAAGATGATCTTTTGATATTTTCAAGGACTTTTGGTATCTTTTGATTGTCAAACATTTTGTAGATTTAAATTTCTGTATATTTACATTGAAAACCTTTACAATATGAAATTAGTTTTGATGTTTCCGAGATAAAAACTAGGTTTGTAGGGTAAAGAAACAAAATCTCTCAAAAATGGGGCCAACTTTTTTAATTGTCATACCTTAATACGACCAGGATTACTGATGTGACGTCTTCAAATGTGAGAGTAGGTGAATCTCTTGACATTTCTACCACTGAGAGATTAATTAAATCTCTATTATAGTATCATACAGTCCTACACACTGATAAGAGATACAAATAAATAAGGGGCTTTAGTACTTTAATAACAATATCGTGTATGACTTGTTACCTTAGTTTTGATAACATGAATGGTACAAATTTTACTGCACCAGATGCACATTTTGACATTCATTCTCTTGAATGATGCCCTAGGGCAAAATATTTGAAAATTCAAAACTTATCGAAAAAATGAAGAGCTTTTAAATCAAAAATGACAAAAAGTATATACCTAAAGCTTGGTAAGATAACAGAGCTATACATGAGGGAGATTTATATTCCTTGATTCAAAACTTTTAGGAATCAGTAGATTTTGAAAATTGTTAATTGAAATAGACAAAAATGGCTATCTTTCCTCCTCCCTAAAGAAAAATCTTGAGAAAAATTAGTGTACCTTAGATTTTCAATTTTCAATATGTCAGAAGAGAACCTTTGAAATTCAGCTGTTACAGAAGATATTTGATATATTTGAATTTTCATAAAAGGCAGCTGTTGTCCAAAAAGCAAATTTGAACAGATTACAGACAATCTTTATGAAATAATAGTTTTGTGTAAATATCATTAAAGACACCTGTCCTAAAGCATGTTATTTTTTCATGATAAATTTTGCAATTTTTAAGTAGATTTGGTTATTCTTTTTTTCCAAATATTTGATATAGATATTTCGTTTGTTTTTCTATATATAAAGAATAGTAAGATAATTTTAAAATCATGACAAATTTTCAACTCAAAATGTTCTTTTTTACTTATTTATGACAAAACAATAAATAAAAAACAAATATGACAGACACCAACTAATGAAAACCACTGAATAAGTACAGGCTTCGACTTTGGATAAGCACTTGCAGAATGTGGCGGTGTTGAACATAGATATAAGAAGATGTGGTATGAGTGCCAATGAGACAACTCTCCATCCAAGTCAAAATTTATAAAAGTAAACCAATATTTGTATACGCTCAACCCTACCCTAACCTGGGACAGTTGTGTAGCAGCACAACATAAGAACAAATTGTAAAAATCAATTGGAAATGGCTTGACTCATCAGATTGGGTTGATATCTTAACATACCAAACCCATAATATTTTGCAGCTTAATATGCATGGAAAGTAATTTGGGAAAATTGCAAATTTGTTGCTTTCTCATCCGTGGTGAACATTTTCTTTATTAAGATTCATGAATAAATTTATGAAATATGAAATATAACATTAATAAAACATATGTATGTAGTATATATTAAAACTGACTTCATGCAAGAATTTTAATATTTCATGGTCCAGTGAGCATTTTCCATGGAGCCTGGGTGATCTGTGAACCTTATAATTATATCAGCTTATGTTAAGGTCTTAGAATTGAATAGATGGTTCATGGATTATAAAATCTTAAGTTTCAATTTCAAAAGAATATGTTTGTCATCATCAGCTATGGTAAAATTTTGTTTACAAATTTGAATTTTGTGAATGAAACTTATTCCTAAAGAATGCGCTCTATACACCCTAGGAGAAGTTTCAATTGCCACATGAAATCTCATACTGTTTTCATTCACTTTTTCAGAGTATTTATTTTTGAAACCTCAACTTGGGGGTAATTGATTTTAAACATTTTGAAAGGATAGTATAAAAACTGTTTTGACATGCTAAATTTTTTTTAATTTCATATTTTGTTAAAGAAAAAGAAAAAAAATTGATAATGACTGTCATTATTATAATAGCTCATTTAAAACTATGTCAAGGCCTTACACTGGGGGGAAATATTAAAACAAAAATTGAAATTGATATAAAGATAAGCATATCAAAACAGAATGAAAAGTTGCACTTAATAATATTGACTTTTTGCTGCGCAATGTCTAGGATTGTTGGTTTTGTCTATTGAATTGGTTCACATTTTGTCATTCAAGGGACTTTTTTATGCCCCACCTATGAGCAATATGTTTTTCCTTCTGTGCGTCCGTTCGTTCATCTGTCCCGCTTCAGGGTAAAGTTTTTGGTCAAGGTAGTTTTTGATGAAGTTGAAGTCCAATCAACTTGAAACTAATAGTACACATGTTCCCTATGATATGATCTTTCTAATTTTAATGCCAAATTAGAGTTTTGACCCCAATTTCACGGTCCACTGAACATAGAAAAATGATAGTGCAAGTGGGGCATCCATGTACTATGCCATGAATGCATTCTTGTTTTGCTCATTGTTGAAGGCTGTACAATGCCCTGTAGTTGTTTTCATCCTGGTCTGTTGGTCTTTTTCAACAGTTTTCTCATTTTTAATCATACCTTATATCCTTACTTTTATTTTACTAATATCAAAATTTACATGTTCATCCCTTCCGTTGTTCGGAGATGCTGACATTTGCATGTTCCGGCATTTTTCAATGAATAATGTTTTAATAAAAAGGTTTGTTCTGTGATTTCTTGTTGGTGTAGGGTATTCTATTAAAATTTGATATTTTTTGTTTTGCTGCACAGGGCTGTTCCAGAAATCAATATATATGAATATCAGATGATCACCATTGACAAAAATTATCTTTTATTTTGCAGGGCTCTGATGAAGCTGTTTCAGATCTATCCTCATTGTCAGACGAATCCTCTGATCCTGTCAAGTCTTTCGAAGATCAGCTAGCTCATGCTGTTGTTACTAAGGTTAGTATTGAATCCTGGGATAGATCATGCTGTTGTAACTAAGGTTAGACTTAAATCCTGGAATAGCTCATGCTGTTGCTACTAAGGTAAGTATTGAATCTTTGGTTAGCTTCTGCTATTGTTACTTAAAGGTAAGTATTGAATCCTGGGAAAGTATAACAGTTAAATGAACCCTTAGCTGATGCTGTGTTTAGGTAAGCAATATATAAATAAAATTCATAATTTAGTTGGAGTATGTTCAATGAACTAAGCAGACTGTTTAATGAACATTGCCTTGGCCCTATGACGAATAGAACTTTTTTATGTTTGCATGGTTGAAAATTCAAATTAAAAAAAATAATAATAAAATAGCTTACATTTAGTGATTTATATCATTATTTGATGGTTTACTGTGCATTCTATACAAATTGTAAACCAACTAGAGAAATGGAAATGATAAAAATCTGTAAATAATACAAATGATCATGATTTAAAATCCAGTTTGATTGATTGATTGATTGTTGGTTGCTTAACGTCCAGTGGCAAATATTTCATGCTAAACCAGTTTGAGGGATGTAAAAATTTATAAAAAAATAAATCTTGAAGTAGTTATGGAGAAAGTGTCCTTCTATTAAGGGTTTTTCAGCCCCTTATATTGCTGCCATTTTGATTGTCATGTAAGTGATATACTTCATTTAATTTGGAATCTCTAAAAATAGAACAATTGATATTGACATATCTATGATATGTCTCATTAAATCTTAAACTTTTAAATGTCTTAAAACATATAATGATTGAAAAGGTTTAAAAGTTTCCTTTGTATTAAAGCTCTTATTAATCTGTATTAAAATAGTTCAATCTTGTTTTAAGAACTTGATGTAAATATATAGATATTTAAGGTGAAAGTTTTTTCTTTGTTGAACTCGATGTTAATGAAGAGATGTAGGAACTGAATTATACACATGGAATTTTGAAAAGGAGATGCTTTTGCATTTGTCTTTGTGAATGGTGAAATTTCAATCTGAACAGTGAATTTGGATATTAGTGAAGTGGCCAAAATGTGCATACATTGCTTTATTGTGTGGTTTTCCAGCAGCCTTAAGGAGCCAATGGTTACCAATTCTTTCATACAGGTTGTAGTCTATTTAAAGTGATTCTCTTTATTATGTATCTTGGCAAATAATTTTACAGGAAAAGATGTTTTTGATAATTTTTAGATTTAATCACAGTTATTTTGTTTTTTCATTTTAAATTCCAACATCATTAAGATAGTGTGGGGGTATAAATAAAACATTAAATGTCCAAAAGGAATGATAAAATAAGATTGAACATTGTCTAAATCTACTCTACATTAATGTTTTTCATCATTCAAATATGTTTGTGAGTACATTTGTTTTAGGCTACTGCATGTTGGGTATTTACAATCTGTGACCATGAAAAAACTAAATTATATAACTTTAAAATGAAATATTATGTTTATTTCTACCATTTCAATGATAAAATTGATTTCAAGGCAAAAAATCAAGCTCATGTCCTTGTGTCTGATTCATTTGTCTTTTTCAACAATAAAATATATTTAAACCTAAGACTTATTGAAATACTTAATTTTTCAATAATACTGTATGTTAAATTATTCAATGCTAATCCATGTCAAATAGTATGTATCCCTATGTCAAATAGTATGTATCCCTTGCCTGCACAATTGGTATACAACTACTGTTCACCTGAATATTGACCTTTGTGTTTCTAAATTTATTTCAATAAGTGTGAAAAACATGGATGAATAGTTTTGTAGCAATAGAACAATAGTGTTAATTTACACAGTGTTAAAATGTGTCTGATCTTTATCCTTTTATGAGAAGATTATCATTATGACTGTGTCCTGCAGGCACACAGGGCATGACAATTTAATTTTAAGTGACTTGAATGCACATGACTATCTAGTTAAAAGTTAGTAATAATAAGTTCTGTAAGACAAAGTCCACTTGAGTGAAATTCATCTTATGTGCTGTTTTGGGGACAGGTGTACTTTGGAAATTCATTGTTAAAAGTGGAGCTCCTTTACTGTGCTACTGCTGTTTTTTTAAAGACAAGGTCTACTTTGATTAAATTTTTGTGAGATGTTCCTTAGACCTCACATTTTGTGTTGTTTTGGTCTACTTTTAGAATAACATAAATTGTTGTTGAAAATGGAGTTCATCTACTGTTGGATGGCAATGCTACCAATATAATACATTATACTTAAAAGTGGAATTCATCCTCTGTTTTATTTTTGGATGACAATGCTACCCATATAATACCTTATACTTCAAAGTTGATAGTTGCTGCTGTGACAAATTATAAGAAGATCTGCAAATTAAAATGAACAAAGCAATGACATCTTGTTCATAGTATCTGATATGAAAGAGTTTTGATATTTGGTAAACATCTAGATAATGAGAGACGTGACATTTTAAGTGATATACTGTTTAATGGGTTTTATTTACAATGTTCCATCTTGGATTTTTTTATCAGGTGAGTTTGACTTTTTGACGAAGTACAATTTTCAAGCATAGTATTTTTTCTCGGGTGAGTAAAGACAGCAATTGGTAGGAGCAATTGACTCATATCATATTCATAATATGTCATTCACTATGAAACCATTGCTAATTTAATATTTTTGCAAACCAAAGGAAACATTACTTTGTTAGCTATTTTATCGTTTAATTTTGTGATAAAAGTTTAAAAAAAAAAACAAACACACAGACATTATTTCTGTAATTATCAAAAATGTTCTTACAAATCAATCACTACGCACTTTAATTTTATTTTTATAAATTTCAGCAAATGAAAGCTTGCCAGTCCAAGGGAAATAACTCAAATATTTTAAAAGACAAATTTTCTTGTTCATTGTAAGGGAGTTAACTCAGGTTGATAAATTTTGATTTTATTCTATTTCAGGTGCTAGAAAATCATAGAAGAGATCATCATCTCGACTTTTGTCTTGATGAGTTAGATGGTCGCAAAGATGAAGTTGACCAGGCACGTAACTCTTCAATGTCTGAGGAGAAAAGTGACAATGAAAAACAGTTTGACAGTGAATCGATGCCTAGTGATAATGAAAAATGTGATACTGTTCATAGTAATTCCACTGCCAAAAGTCATGTGACTAATAATGGCAAAAGTCATGTGACTAATAATGTGAATCAAAAAATAACTCTGCAAGATAGTTCAATGCAGTGTGAACCTTATGAAAACCAAAAAGAAAGCAGTTTTCGTGAAAGGCCAAAATCAGTGAATGAAATGGTGCAATGTGAATTGTATGAAAACCAAAAAGACACTAAATTAAGGGAAAGACCAAAGTCTGTGAATGAAATGGTGCAATGTGAATTGTATGAAAGCGAAAAAGACAGAATAAAGCCAGAAAGGCCAAAATCTGTGAATGAAATTGTTCAATGTGATATACGAAGTGATGTAGATAGCCTAGGTCATAGTGATTTAGATAATGAAACTGATTTATGTGAATCAGAACAAATAGAAAAATGTGAATCTGTAAAAAGTTTCAGTAGCTCTAGTACAAATGTTGAAAATGAATTTGAAAAATTACGCAGTTTTGCTATGGACTTGTCCTCAAGGAGTCAACCTCAGGTTCGTCAAGTGGAGGAGTATTTGGATGAATTGCCAATGGAGGAAGAAAAAGTTGATAGAACAGAAGGACAACAAGAATTTTCATCAAGATATGACACTTATGATCGTGTTCATGATGATACTCGTATTTCACTGCCAAGTCTTGACGATTACGATTACGAGTACGGGACGAGTGAAGTTGATCCTGATTTATTATCAATGAATCTTGCTCCTATAATTGAGGAAGATGAAGAGGAGGCTGAGGATGAGGATGATGACGATGATGAAAAAGAAAATAAAGGTCAAGGACAAAACTGGAAAGGCAACTGGATTTTTAAAAGTCCAGCTGGAATAACTCCATACAAAAATGTTGGTCAGACTAAAAAAGTTGAAGGACTATCACAAGTGTATATGACCATTCCTCAACCGAAAGAACATATGTCACCAAGAATAGGTCAAAGGTCAGTTTAAATCAAGGCACACATATAAGGCAATTCACATAAAATTCAATCTTTTGTGGTGAATTTTAACCTTTAACATGGTAAATACTGAAACATGTTGGTTATTACCTTGAATTCAAAATTTTTTGTGTGCATTTATTATTGCAATTTTTTTTAGTGCAAGATTATTTATTGAGATAAAGGAATTTGCATTATACAAATTACCTCAAAATGTGAGTTTTTATTTTTGCGAATCCAATCCAGTCACAATGCATAAAAACATTGCAGAAATTTTTGAATTTACAGTATTCACTTAGAATTTCTTCTTTGTGTATTGAATAGATATAATATGGCAAGGTTGTAAATCAGTGTTATCACTTCTAATTACCAGCAATCCTTTTGATTCATAGTGAATCACTCCACACCAGGAAAGGTGATTTTATCAGAATCACATTGTATGTACTCTGTTGTTGACTTTCCAAGTCTTTGAAAATTCGGAATGAATTTTATATAAACAGCCTATCTTAGGTCAGTTGTCTTCACTAAATTCCTGAAGGACAAATACAATTTATAAACAGATCTAGTATGTTCTCTGTGGTTGATAAAAAGGTCCGTAAACTATTTGGAATACATCTAAGATGAAAATAAAAAGATGTGGTATGACTGTCAATGAGACAACTCTCCACCTGAGACCAAATGGTGTAGAAGTATATCATAAGCCTATCAGGGATGATGTCTACACAAACTTACTAAAAGGACAAAAAAACATTTAAAAAAGACATGACTTCAGTAATGACTTCCAACCACTGACAAACCTCCAGATTTGGGACAGGTGCTTGAAAACAATTCACTGATAAACCACCTTCTTTAACATATCCAAGGGTATACAAAGAAATCCGAGGAATGAATTATATAATGATGATTCATGTATTTACATCATGTACATTTTAACTTGTCGTTGCCTCACGATGTAAGGAATTTTTTTGCATGTAATCAGTTTTTGGGTTAACAACAAAGTCATTTGACGAACTTGAGACATTTTAACGAATCATAGACCTTGAAAATTAAACAGAGAAGTGTTAACATGTTATCTGACATGTAGAGGTTATTTTCAATACCTGGATCATTGAGTTTTATTGAAATATAAGAGTTCTGAAAGTTCACTTTTGTTTTGAAATCTGATAGAAATGAAATTATGACACGTGAAAGACGATACCTAAATTTTTTTGGAACTTGTTCTAAATGAAATTTGATTGTAATTCGTGAACTAAATTATCTACAATATAACGAACATTTGTACATGGTGAAAATGTGTATATATTGTTACATAGTGTCACTTTTTAGCAGATTGGAGGATAAACCTCAGGGGTAAGATTTTTTAGTTCTCAGGCAAATTGTTTGAAAAAAATTTGTGTGGATCTGCATTTTTTTTTTTAAATTTTGCTAGATTATTTAGAAGTTTTCATTCAAACATTTTATATATATTCATCATTTTTATTCATTAAGATTTTCACTTCCTGGTTCCAAATGATGGAAACTAAGATTTTAATATATTGGTGCTTGGATATTTTTTTCCATTGGTTTTAAAGCTAGATTTACTAATTAATGCTGGTTATTTTATGTAGATTCACATTTAGCAGGTCATGTTCAACGTTAAGATTGTCAAGTTCTGAGATTAAAGTTGGCATCTGAAAATTACCGCTCAGCATTTTCAAATAGACCATTTTGCAAAACTATTCTAAATTTTGTTGAAAGTGATGCAATATAGATAATTTTGAGAACCTATACCCACTCTCTGACATCCAATATCATAATTTTTCACAGTCCTGTCTACTACAAAGAACACATACACTTTATGCCCTTCATTTGCAGGCACTGATTTCCCAAACAGTAGTTATTTTATAAGATCTAGTTCTCAGACAGCAAATTCACAATTATTTTAAAATTTTGTTTTTTTTTGTAACTTAACCAAATAATTTTGAGAATATAAAGAACAGTAAGAGAAAATTTATCGTACGTAAAAAATGTAGACCTTTCAAAGGATTAAAAATAAATATCTACTCTATAGAAATGGGAGGTAATTCATGCAGATCTATATTGTTAATAAGGGAATGAAAGGAACAAAATGTTTGTATAATCCCCTAAACACTGAATTACAGCAACTCACTATGTAGTATTACCCATATTCTTCCATCCATTATGCTAAAATCTTTCCAACCTTATTTTATTAATATTAAGCCTGTAGATTTTTGTTTTTTGGATTATACATGTAATGGTGTGGAGTAAATTTGAATTTCAAATTTTTACACATAGCTATCACAGGACTACAGCCATAATGCTTAGAAAATTTCATGAAATCGTACCAATTGAAAATATTTGCCCAATGGGGTGTATGCCTGTAACTATTGAGCTAATATTTGGATCATTAGTACTTTTAAAATAATTTGTCGTCCTGTCATTCCCAAGGCAGAGGTACTAATGTCTGCTGTGTATTTAGCCCTTTTACTTTTGTAACAACATGTTTACTACCAAATCATGTTTAATGGATATGAATCTGTAAAAAAATAATGAAAATACATTGATTTGTTATCGTGTATTGTTATGCGTTTACTTTTCTACATTGGCTAGAGGTATAGGGGGAGGGTTGAGATCTCATCATAACCCCGCCGCATTTTTGCGCCTGTCCCAAGTCAGGAGCCTCTAGCCTTTGTTAGTCTTGTATTATTTTTAATTTTAGTTTCTTGTGTACAATTTGGAGTTTAGTATGGCGTTCATTATCACTGAACTAGTATATATATTTGTTTAGGGGCCAGCTGAAGGACGCCTCCGGGTGCGGGAATTTCTCGCTGCATTGAAGACCTGTTGGTGACCTTCTGCTGTTGTCTGTTCTATGGTCGGGTTGTTGTCTCTTTGACACATTCCCCATTTCCATTCTCAATTTTATTGAGAAATATTTCTTTCTTATGCCATTTTGGGTTGTGCTATTAACAAACTTTATTTTTGATCTAAATAGTACATTTTGTGGTGCAGTTTAAAGGTAGACGCATCAACACATAAATTATATGCATCTGTAAGAAACTTGAAACCATTATGATTATGCTCTTACATTACAACAATGTTAGATAAAGGATTATATAATTTAGTAGTATGTATTTTACATATAAAGTAAACATTGTAAAAACTTCTTATCAAAGACTTTATTTGTTTGCATTCTAGTCACAAAGTTTTGTTGCTTACCTTTACAAAGATTTGACCTTATTTTGACCTGAATTAGAAGCCTTTTTTAGCAATAAACTTATACTGAAGTGTTTATGTGTTTAAATTGCATTCAAATTTTGGAGCTAAAATGGAGTTTGTGTTGTCAATTATTGCAATTTGTGTTGTATATTTTATTCAAAGACTGATCCACAGGTACTGTTTTGAAAATATTCACTGATGAATTGATAGCAGTTCTATTTTAATGTGACAACTATGTCCAATATCTTTTGAAATTCTGCAGGACCTATTTTTTTATTTTTACTTGATTTTGGCCTTTAGTCAAGCATTGCCATTGTCGGTTTACTCCGAGAGGATTTTCCCTGTTTAACATTGATATTTTTGTAAAACAAAAAAGCTATTGTTATTGTAAAAATGTTTAATAATCATTTTAACTTGCTTTCCTTTTCAGAGATGTGGATCAAATGTCAGATTTATCCGATGCAGACAGTAACCTTAGCGATGAAGAATCCTCCTTTTATGCAAATACCTCAGCAGAAATTTCAAGAATCAGTAAGAAACATGGAAAGAACCGAATGCGAACATCTTCCGTACAGACTGATGAATCTGATGTTGACGATGTCAGAGAGAGGTCTTCATCTGTGTCGAAATCTCACCTTGAAAGTAGTGCTGATGAAAGTGTCTCGTCTATAAAGAAAAAAATGATAGAGGAATATGTCCCAGCAGACGGCGAAGATCCAAAATTTGAAATCCCACCAGAAAGTTTAGAGGTGCCAGAAGGGGAACCTGCCAAGTTTTCATTGCGTTTTGCAGGCACAGAGCCAATAAGTAAGTGATTTGTAGTTTTTGCACGGCAAGTTCAGAAATTTTTGCAATCTTGTAACAATACCAAAATTGTGACAGGATAGGTTTAGCAAAAATAAAAGCTTGCATATTGAATTATTGCATTATTTGAGCACAGTTTTTTCTTAAAATCATAATTACTTATATCATATTTGTGTATACATACATTGTGCAACAATTGGAATAATAAGTACTCGCAAAAATGAATTTACAGTATAATATATTCAGATCAATAGTTTATGGTCAACAAATAATCATTTGTGCCAAAATAAAGTATTATTATGTCTTCCAAGACCTAAGAAAATTTTGTTGCAATTCTTAATTGAAAAAATTAAAACACAAAATGGTCACTCATATTTTGAATACAGAAAGAAAATGGTCACTTGCTCAACAAGCCAAAACATGGTTTTTTAATGCCTAGAGCCCTCATGAATTCTCAGAAATAACTGAAAAAATGGAATTTTTTTGAAAGTGTACAAAGGAACTTCAAACTCATCAACAAACATAACAAACAAACAAGTGAATACAATCAAGGGGAGACCACTCAAATTTGCACTGGGTAGTTGAAAACCGTGATTAGTTATTTGGTTGATTTAATTAGACTTTGTTCTGTTTTGACAACATTTACATCATTGGAAAAAATTACATATTTATTACAGTACTTATATATTATTTTTAAATTGTTATCTTTTGTAGATGTGTTTTGGTATAAAGTTGAGGATGATCTGGTAGAGTTGATGGATTCAGAACAATACACGACCAGTCGTGATGGCAATCATTGCTATCTTACAATATACAATCCAGTGAGAGCTGACGGAGGACAATACATGGCTATAGCTATCAATGAGAAAGGACAATGCTGCCAGTATATAATTCTGTCAATTAAAAGTAAGTTCGAAAAACAATTATTGTGGATTTATTTATTTTCACATTTTGAGGAAAAATGATTATTCCTTGGATACTAAATTTCTTGGTGTAGCCAAAGTCTGTGTTCAAGCCTGTAGAATATTTGTACATTGTTGAAGATTTAAATTTGTTGTTTTACCCTGAATAATCCATGACAATTGGTGCCTCATGAACGTTAATGAATCCACATTGTTTAAAGGAATAACCTTTGTCACGAAGCTATTGACCATTTAAACCTTTGTCACAAAGCTATTAACCATTTAAACCTTTGTCACGAAGCTATTGACCATAAGTTGTTTGTAAGCAAAATAAACAGTTTTGCTGGCTCTTAAGTGTGTTATGTGTACTTTTCACATAATTTTACCATGAGCTGACGCTGCTGTACTTGGAAATAATTTGTTTTTATGTCAACTAATTTTTGCTGATTGTGCAAAAATGTATTTTCATGTATACCTGATTTAGTAGTCTCATCAATTGTTGCATAGAAGCCTTTAGGAAATTTTGTTTGGTTGAATGCTACAATTCATTATAAGAACTAAAAAAATAAGTAATCCAATAATGATAATGACCCGACAGTTATATAATGATGGTGTTTCAGGTCATTATAGTGTAACTTGAATGATTTAGGCCCTTCAGAGTCTCCTACCTGGGAGGGCCTTAATTCTTTATACATTAAAAACGTCACAAATCCTGTCCTCTGATTCATGACCTCTGGAAGAGAGAGCCACTTCTAGCAGCTTGATTATATTGAGATAGCTTATTCGGAATGATTGCTGGGACACTTTTCCCTTTATTAAGCATTCAGGCATTATAATGTAGTGCTCTTGTGAGCAGAATATCTAATGACTAAATTATAAAGGTTAATGATAGGGTTCAATGTTCAATTGAAATTATGATAAAATGGATTCCATAGTGTCATTCATCCTGTTTTGTACTATATGAACAGTCGCATGTACTCCCAATTCTTCCATAACAAATCTAACCTTGTGATTAATTAGAGTTAAACAAAAATAATAAAATGTACTTCAAAATAACTAAATACTTTTAAGAAAGTATTCAAATAGCTGTTGATAAATAAGGAGTTGTATATATGATAAGGAGATAATTACACTACCAGAGAAGAAAAATATTGCAAATATAATTGAGTCATCATTATTACAAAAATGATTAAATTTCCACAAATTAATACTTTTAAAAAATGCCAGCATTCATGTGAAATAGTAATAAACTACAGTACACTTCAGAGTTTGCATGAAAAACTTAACAAATATAAATGTTGGGCCTAAAATGTCTGTATGAAATAAAATTGAGAATGGAAAGCATATTTGTGATTTAATAAAGAAAATGATTATTTATTACATGCACAAATACAATAAATTTTTCTCACTTTCAGAAAATAAACAAGAACTGAAGAAGCCAGAGTTTCTTAAAGGAATCCAGGATGTTGATGCTACTGAAGGTCAAACTGTCAAGTTCAGATGTAAGGTCAAAGGTTATCCACAGCCAAGAATATGTTGGTATAAAGATGGGAAGCTTCTGGCAAATGATGATTGTTATAAGATAGGTATGCTTTTTCCTTATATTTCATTAAAGACCCACTCTTAAGTGGGGGCTATATTGCAATCGCTTTGTATGTCAGTTTGTCTGTCCATCCATAACACTTATTTTTAACACTTTTCTCAGAAACCACTGAACAGAATGGCTTTATATCTGTTCAGCAGCTTGACAGTGATGTAAAAGTAAAGTATATGTGTTTTTTAGATCTGTTAGTAACCTTATTCCCATTTACTGATTCTTTAAATTTTTCAAAATGTTGAATGAATTTTTATGCCCCACCAACAAAAGTAGGAGGGGCATTATGTTTTCTGGTCTATGCGTCAATCTGTTTGTCCGTTCGTCCGTTCGTTCGTCTGTCCCGCTTCAGGTTAAAGTTTTTGGTCAAGGTAGTTTTTGATGAAGTTGAAGTCCAATCAACTTGAAACTTAGTACACATGTTCCCTATGATATGATCTGCCTGGTTTTAATGCCAAATTAGAGTTTTGATCCCAATTTCACTGTCCACTGAACATAGAAAATGATAGTGTAAGTGGGGCATCCGTTTACTATGGACACATTCTTGTTTTTTTTATTTTCACATTTTTCTCAGACACTGCTGTCAGCTGACAAATATTGAAAAAGGAATTTTGTTTGTTTTAAAATCATTCTAAGTTTTATTGACATTTTCCAATGTAATGTTTATACCATGTTATCGTATGATTGATGACCAGGATTCATTCGCCTCCATAAATGTTTAACATGTCAAAATTAAAAAGTAAAATAAAGGGGCATTATTTGGGAGAAAGATTATCAAATTAATCAAATTTAGTTGTTTCCAATTTTTCAAGGCATTGAAAAATTCAAATAAAAAATATGGTATTATTTTAGAACAAAAAAAAGTTAAAGGGCACATTATTGCATGAAATTGTGCTTTGAAAATTTTACATGGTCAGCTAAATGCCACTGTCTTAAAAGACCACCTTTCATATCATCCTGCAGCCCAACAGCTCAATTTGCCCACAGTGCTTGCCCTACAAAATTCATATATCGTCGCAGTAACAGAGAATTATGAAATGGCACTGTTTTTCTAGAAATTATAGTACCTCATCCATAACACAATCTTGAAAGAAAATCATTTCAGATGGTATCACCTACCTTCAAGCAATATAGCATCACATTAACATAATGCTAAAAGCCCTGGCCCAGAATACTGCCCTTCTAGACTTCGACACCATATAAACCAAAAGGTTAAAACACTAAACTCTGCCAGTGGTGTTTCTGTCTATCATTGTATTTTCCTATATAAGGACCCTCAGATTAGGTCATTCAATGTCATTAATCATTGTTAATTTGGAATACACATATTTGTCAGGATTTTCTCATCTATTTCAAATCGTTTCTGTGGTGGAATGTAAACTCAATACAGGTTTGATTATGAAAATATTTATTTTTCTAAATGTTTGTTTTGTTGTGACAGCAGATTAATTTAAATCTTGTTACATATGACAGCTGTTATGACATTTTTCACAAGGTATTAATAGTTTTACATTGTACATTTAGGTTAATAATTTGGAGGTTCTGACTGTGTACATTCTAGTTAATGATTTGGAGGTTTTTGTCATGTACATTCTAGTTAATGATTTGGAGAGTATAACTGCATTTGGTTTTATTTAGAAAAAAAAAGTAATATTTCCAGGATTTTTTTGCAGAAGACTGTTTTTATTGGACAGGGTAAACATTAGATTTGTTCTATTTGCAGAAAAATTTGGAAACCGTGATTATATTTTGACGATAGATTTTGCCTCAATGAATGATGATGCTGAATACACTGTTGTGGCCAAAAATATCGCAGGAGAAACTAAATCTGTGGCGCAACTGATAGTTGATACAGGTAAGGTTGCAGCATATTATGAAACTGTTTTTGTGGAGCCTTCGACTTTTGTTGAAAAAGCGAGACATAGCGATCCTACATTCCGGCGGCTGCGGCAGCGTCCACAAATATTCACTCTGTGGTTAAAGTTTTTGAAATTTTAATAATTTTCGTAAACTATCCTGGATTTCTACCAAACTTGGACAGAAGCTTGTTCATGATCATAAGATAGTATCCAGAAATAAATTTTGTAAAAAAAAAATTCCTGTTTTTCCGTATTTTACTTATAAATGGACTTAGTTTCTGCCAGGAAACATTACATTCACTCTGTGGTTAAAGTTTTTAAAATTTTAATAACTTTCTCAAACTATCCTGGATTTCTACCAAACTTGGACAGAAGCTTGTTTATGATCATAAGATATAGTATCCAGAATTAAATTTAAAAAAAAAAAAATCCTGTTTTTCCGTATTTTACTTATAAATGGACTTAGTTTTTCTGCCAGGAAACATTACATTCACTCTGTGGTAAAAGTTTTTAAAATTTTGATAACTTTCTTATACTATCCTGGATTTGTACCAAACATGGACAGAAGTTTGTTTATGATCAAAAGCTAGTATCTAGAAGGAAATTTTTATTAAAATTTTGTACTTGTTTATCCATATTTTACTTATAAATGGACTTAGTTTTTCTTCCAGTTACCATTACATACAGTCTGCAGTTAAATTTTTTAAAACTTTTATTAGATTCATAAACTATCCTGGATTTTTACCAAACTTGGACAGAAGCTTCTTACAATAAAAAAATTGTATCGAGAGGAATATTTTTATTTAATTTTTTCCTCATCTCATTTTTGTTGAGCCTGCGATTAACAGCAAAAGTAGGTGAGACACTAGGTTCCGCGGAACCCTTACGAATTTTTTTCTCCATTGATGTCAACAGATAGATGTCAATGTCTTGCTCTATTTGGTTATGACTGTAATGATATATAACGTAACAAAAAAATTTTCATCTTCTCACTGTGTTGACCCTAATGGCAAGAACATATTTATAACTGTAAATTAAGAAATTTTTGTATGCATTTATTATGCAAGATTGATTGTTACGATGTAAGAAAATGATGCATACAATTAATGGTATCAAAATGCGAGCTTTTATTTTTGCTCAACATATCCTGTTCCAATTTTCGAAATAATTTCTGAATTTAGTTCATATAAAAATAAGAAAATGTGGTATGATTGCCAATGAGACAACTGACCATCAGAGACCAAATGACGTGGAAGTTGTCATATTTGTTTCAAGTTCATTGTTTTGTCAAAATGCAGGCTGTCGTATATGAAACAATGCAATCCATGAAGCCAGCAAAGTAACAACACTTTTGTCAATATAATGGAATTTTACGTGACTGTCATACTAATGAGAGGTTTAGCTAGCTATAAAGCCAGGTTGAATCCACCATTTTCTACATAAGGAAATGCCTGTACCAAGTCAGGAATATGACAGTTGTTTTCCATTCGTTTAATATGTTTGAGCTTTTGATTTTGCCAATTGTTAAGGGACTTTCCGTTTTGAATTTTCCTTGGAGTTCGGTACTTTTGTTATTTTACTTTTTGGTAAGCTGATGTGCATGAAGCAAAATACCAATAATTCATCACATTTTGCATGTTAAATATTAAGAATTTTGCAACATTTGTCAATAATTACTGCATTCATCTTGAAATATGTTGACCTTTATGACAGATGTAGTCAAACCTAGCCAGCCTGTCAGATTACCAACATCATCCCAGCGTAAAGATGACCAACAACTGACCAATCTGAACAGGAAGTTATACGAGACAAAATCAGATGTCACTGATGCTGCAGAGGACTTACTCAACACCGCCAATGAAGTAAGATTTTAAAGAATTTTGGGTTTTAGGTTACATAGAATCTGTATCATATAATACAAAAAAAGGCTATCTTATTTCTAAATAAAAGTACATAATTTAGATTCAATCATTTTCATGGGTACCAATACCTGTATGTTCTATCCTTTACATAAAATTATAATTTATAAACTATATCATTATAAAATTGTTTTTCCTCTATATAGAACCACTGTATATATTCTATTATAAATTAGTATAACCAAGTAGACACATTCACTGCATGTTATAACTATAACCAGATAATTGGGCAAAGTCATTCAAATACTGGGTGGATTCAAGTTACTGTAAATTCAGAAATTATTGCGTGGTTTTTATTAATGCGAATATTGCAACTGGGTGAGTATCGCAAAAATAAGAACTCGCATTCTGAAATCTGATACATATATCTGTATGCAGATGTTTCTGAAATCGCAATAATTACTGCTGCATTTTGTCCATTCCTAAAAATCGCATTAATAAATGCATGCAATAATTTCTGAATTTACAGTAATAGGCATATCTTTTTTACACATTACTCCATTTTTAAAAAAGTCAATGCCTCAGTTTTACCCAGCATTTAACATTGCCATTGCTTCTGAATTTTAACATGCTGTATTATTTATTAATTTCTTTCATTTCCTTCATACATTTTGGTCCAAACCATAATTTTGACATTTGATTACTGAAAACAGCTGAATAAAAGAATGGAGAAAAACAACAAAAATGAATAATCTTACAGCATGCATCACTAAAGCAAACAGCAGAAAATATTTTGAATGATATTTATTGGACAGAATAGTTGTTCCTGAAATATTTTTTTATAACTTACATTGAACATTTTCAAAAATAAAATGTGCAAAGTTTTCTGCTGTTTTAAATGTATACTCACCTAACCGTTTAATTATACTAACAGTTGACTGACATCCACAAGAGCTTAGATGAAGTTGATCACATGCTTTCATCCTTTGAACATGACCTTGACCCAGCTTCTGATGTAACCAATAACAACTGGGCAGATACGGTTCTATCCCATAATTTAGGACATAGTACTTTATTGAATTATCAAAAGATGGTGAGTCGTGCAGTTTTTTGAGAATTCACTAGATGTTTCAACATTACCTTCTGTTAACCCTTTTATCCATAATAAAGCCTTTTGTAGCCTCCCTCTTTTCTCCATAATGATGCTTTTTGACACCTCTTGGTACATCAATGTTTTGCCCCACAAAAAAATCTGTATTAAAGTTTTTATTTTATTTAATGTGGTATGGGAGTATAAATTAAAAATGATAGAATTTGTTCATACTTTGCCAAAACGTAGTATATATTATGATATATTCAAAAATATAATAAAAATGATAGGTCACCGAGCATTTTCTCATGCTACAGGTTGTGACAAAATGAAACATTTTGTATGGATTATACAGGAAAAAAATCATTATGTGATTAGAAGCTAAGCTAAATGATAGAATTGTAAAATAAAATATGAGAAGATAGCTTTTAGAAAATGCTTTGAGAATATCAAAAGAAAGGATAGGGTCACCGTACATTTTTTACGGCTAAAATATAAAATAGCAAAATTTCATGTAGATTCCTTCAGAAAATGTACTATTTCAGAACTTCAGAGCTACCTCCCCTTAAAATGCCAATTTAAAAAACATTAAAAATCAAGCAAAAATAATCTAAGCTTGTAAAAATATTAATATTTATAAGTTAAAATCTTATAAATTTGTTCTTTTAAATGAAAATTCACATTAGTTATCTGCATTCCTGCATCAAATTTTGCTAACTTGATTGAAAATCTGGACCTTAGGTTCTCTGTTAATTACAATCCAAGATGGCGAAAGACACCCATACAACATTTTATTGAAATATCCTATGGTTATTTCCCTTTGCCCAATGGTCATATTATAGCAATAATTAATCACAAAACATTTCCCCATATGTTTAGATGTAATTATGAAACACCTTACAATGTGAGAAAATGCAATTGTGTGCACTTTTTTTGGTTAAAAAACGCAAGATTTGGTAAATCAGCAAAATTTTGTTTTCAATAACAATACTAAAGTTAAATTCCTAACCTTTTTTATTGCACAATTCTTATAGGCATATTATGTTGAGTAAACCCTTGCATGCATTAGGCTAATATTTAGAACTCCTCCAAAATTATTTATAGCCAAATATATTGTAGCGGGTAGGGGCTTTTCAATTTTTCTTTACAATATTATATCATGAACTCTTATGGATATAGATAAAAGTATCAATGTAAATTCCCTCCTGGAAGTGTTCAAGGAGAAATATTCCTTTGTAAATCTTTGTTGCTGGTGGTTTACATGAGATTTTAAAGGCACCAATCTGTTTAATTTCTATACTTAATTTTAACTTAACAGTTTTAGCTTGAAAACTGAAATTTACAACATTTTTTGAATTTTGGGATATTTTGTTCAAAAAGGATATTTTTACCTTCCTTGAAGAAATTTTTCTTTGGGAAAATTGTCATTAATGGAGACACTTCCCCTTACAAAACAATGTAAAATTTCACAGAGAGGTCTGTTACAATTTTTAGAAGAAACCATTTGAGAAAAATCATGAACAATTTGTTATAATGGAATAACGTTAAAAGATGCAAGACATTTTGTGGAAAGATGCATTGTTTATAATATGACAAAAACTAATTGACAATTCATCCAGTTTTAAGGTGATTTATTACAAATTATAAGATACTGTCAGTTATGTTTGTTGAACTTGTGTAGAAAGGTTACTGCCTAATTGAAGTTTATGGCACATCATCTTTTATCTAGAAATATAGTATAAACTTTTATCAATTGTAGAAAACAGCAGCTGAAAATGTAAGAAAAACAACTGGTAGGGCTATTGATCTTGTTGAATCTACAGACAGTTTAATTGACAACAATAAAATGGACTGCTTAGCAACTAGCACACCAAGGTCATCAGAAGAATCCATTCATACACCAAGGTCAAAGAAAGACATTCCAGAAAACAAACCAAAATGGTTACAATTTGTTAAAGAAGATGGTGACATTCCAACACATTCATTGCTATTATCAAAACAAAGTAATAAGACAAATGATTCATATTTCAATCAGCCAATCAAAACAACAGAAACTGGACATGTGCCTTTATCTGTTGACACTTCTCATCATGTGACTTCCAAGTTAGATGATTTTATTTCAAACACTTCTGTTAAACCAGAGACTGTTCATCATTCAAATGTTGATCAGATTCATTTGACCGTTTCCAAGGACGAAACTGATCATGTGACCCCAAATACTCAGCCATTAGATACATCTCTAGACTCATCAAATATTTCAAGTGATCTGAATGACAATGTCTTAGATTCTGAACCCCAAACTGTCAATTTTGGTGCAAAGCCAGTTCAAGCTGAATTCTACAGTAGAGACTACATTATAAATAATAAAAATACTCCCTCTAAACCTCCACGGAAAAAGTGGGAGGTGAAGACTGATCATTATTCACCTGGTGCTGAAATTGTAAATAAACAGAAAGATCTGGATAACGCTGAGGAAAAGGTAAGATATATTAGTAATTTGCAAATGCCTATGTAAAATATGACCTCTCTTTTCCAAAACAAATCAAACATCAAATAAGATAAATTTGTACTAATTCAGTTTAACGCTTCTTATTGAGACAAAACATTCTTAGATTTACCTTTTTTGTCGAGCCTGCGACTTTTGTCGCAGAAAGCTCGACATAGGGATAGTGATCCGGCGGCAGCGTTAGCTAACTTCTTAAAAGCTTTATATTTTTGAAGGTGGAAGATCCGGATGCTTCATACTTTGTATATGGATGCCTCATGTTACGAAGTTTCCGTCAGTCACATGTCCAAAGACCTTGACCTCATTTTCATGGTTCAGTGATTACTTGAAAAAAAAGTTAAGATTTTTCTTATGTTAAATTCTCTCTTATTATAAGTAATAGGATAACTATATTTGGTATGTGTGTACCTTGCGAGGTCCTCATGCCCGTCAGACCATTTTCACTTGACCTCGACCTCATTTCATGGATCAGTGAACAAGGTTAAGTTTTGGTGGTCAAGTCCATATCTCAGATACTATAAGCAATATGTCTAGTATATTCAGTGTATGGAAGGACTGTAAGGTGTACATGTCCAACTGGCAGGTGTCATCTGACCTTGACCTCATTTTCATGGTTCAGTGGTTATAGTTAAGTTTTTGTGTTTTGGTCTGTTTTTCTTATACTGTATGCAATAGGTCTACTATATTTGGTGTATGGAATGATTGTAAGGTGTACATGTCTAGCTGGCAGGTGTCATCTGACCTTGACCTCATTTTCATGGTTCAGTGGTCAAAGTTAAGTTTTTGAGTTTTGGTCTTTTTTTCTAATACTATATGCAATAGTTCAACTATATTTGGTGTATGGAAATATTTTATGATCTATATGTCAGTCACGCAGGTTTTATTTGACCTTGACGATATCAATGATCAGTAAAGAAGGCGAGACATTTCAGCGTGTGCACTCTTGTTCATCCATTAGAAGATGAATTATCATTCAATTTTAAATTTCATTATTTATAAGCAACATAATTTTTCAGATATACATGTCTGCAAGCAAGTTATCAAACCTTGAATCAAAACTTCATCATCTCCAACAGGAAGTTACCAGCACTCATTCTGGGAATAAAAGAAAGATTTCACACCTGGAAGAGGACATTGCTCAAACTGTTGCAGAGACTTGCCGTTCAGATCATGATGTAAGTCCTTAAGAGATGTGACATTCAAACTCATTAGTCCAAAATAAACTGACAATGCCATGGCAAAAAACAAAAAAGACTAAAAGACGGACAACGATATACAAAACACAAAATAAAAAACTAAAGAATGGGCAACACCAACTCCATCAAAAACTAGTAATTTTCAAAGAAATTATAACCTATAAAAGATTAAACTAATTGACCACATTGAAGTAATCTTTATGAAAACCTATAAACTAATTTTTGTAAGTTATATATATTGAAATTGTACTCATCTTATTTAAATGATGATTGGAATTTTTCAAATTAACTTTTATCTGTTTACAGATTGGTGCGATTGAAAGATCTGTTGAAGCTCTCCAGGTATCCTGTCCAGCTTCTCCTAGGTCTGCCGAGGATGACAATTCCAACATGTCCTCCCCAAGTTTGTCCATTGACTCCGGATTCTCATCAATAAGAGAGCGACCTCAGCCTACTGTCATTATTGGTACAACTGGAGAGGACGAGCTACCTGAAAGTAGGACAGAATTAAACGAGGAGACTGGGGTCGAGCTACCATCGGTAAACAGATTGAAGCAGTTGTTTGCACACACTCAAGAGGAGGAGGCTGCATTTAAGAGGGTTAGCATTGACTCACTTTTCCAGAAGTTGTTAGATTTTTGATCATTTGAAATATGGTGTTGGCCTTTTTCTCCCTTTGTTGACAGGATATTTATCATAAATACAAATAAATTCTAGTAGAATGCATGAACAAATATACATGGACATCTTTAACCTAACAAAAATTATCTGGAGTATTTTGATTGCTTGAAAAATGCATGAATGCTTCAATCAAGTTAATCTTTTCTTTTATCATTAATTTTACACTTAGTTGATAGTATCCATGAAAACTTCAGCACTTGTCAAGATTTTTCCAAACTAAAATCTTGAATTTTAAAATGTTGCCTTACAAGACCCTCAGTAGAATTAAGTTTTGCTTTTTACAAAAACTCTGTCTTATTTATCTATATACATCAACTGATAAAAAATATTTAAGTAAAAAGATTCTGAGGGTATCAAAAGTTAATTTGAATTTTGAATCTGTTTTATAGTAAGTTGCTGTCAGAATATTACAGTTCTGCAATATTGAGAGGGAAAATATAGTTACACTAATAGATAAATTGAGAAAAAGGGAAAATTAAAATCAAATGAAAGGTTAAAAACTAAATGAGTTATTAACAATTAGATTCTAAAAAAGTTTTTTAACCATTAAACTGATCAAGATGATTGATTCTGTAAGGATATCTGGACAGTTAATGTCAACTAAGTGTGAATATACCTTTAAGCTTTTGCTGAATATTGTCTGCTATAAAACTTATTGACAAGATATTTTTAAATATTTTTTGTATTTTTATTCCTGTAGAATCATGCACTCATGATTTTTTTCATGTTACATTTATGAACTCGATTTTATAAAGGAGAATTTTGAACATTTAAAGAAAATTCTATATCTTATTAAAATTCTATCAAATAAGGAAAATTATAGGGAAGTATAAGTGCATTTTAAGGACAACATACAAAATACTGTTCTGAATTTCACAAACGCACACCGGACTTTAACATGCACGGTAAGTCACTGAAACTAGTTGTCACATTATCAACGTGTTTAGTGTGAAGTCCATTTTGTTTTTAATTCTAGAGTGCAGTGAATTTGTCTATTCTTTTTAAACCTTATTGTTTATTCTAATTGTTATTAATTTTCTTCATATTGCTGCAATTCTTGGCATATGCTCTCTATACATTACTTTTCCATTTCAATATTAATATCTGAAGGCTGTTCCCATTTAATTATTACAGTAAAGAGGGTATTATTCCATTCATCTGCTACTATCAAGTGATTGATTGAATCTTCAGATGCCAAAAAGCATTTTTGCCATTTGTAACAGTTAAATTATTTTTTTGTGGGTAAATTATCAATGTTTTAATCATAATCCTGATGAATTTAACCCTCAGATATAAGACTGAATCAACATCATTTGATTAATAGTATAAGGTTGCAATATATTGATTTTTTTTGTTTTTTCAATTTTTTTCAATTGTAGCAGTATTTTTTTCAAATTGTTCCTCTGGGAAAAAATTAAATGACAAATTCATTTTGTTCCGCCTTATAGCTTAGTCTACAAATAAGTTTAAAGAACTAAGAATGATTTCCATTTGGTTTAATAATTAATTGACACATCTACAAGAACAAAATGAAAAGTACATCCCTGGAAAATATTAAAGAATACATTGTTTACGTTCATTCTCAAAATGTAATACTATGTCACTCAAAACTGTAGATGAGCATGCAAGGGAAACACCAGAACAAAATGTAGTAAAATTTCACTTGCTACCTTTAGTATAAATTGGAAATAGGGAACCCTTGACCAACCCTTGACCAACACTATTTCAATTCAGCCTAGCCCTTAGAAAACAATTTAACAAGCTAATTCCGCTACCTTTAGTATAAATTGGAAACAGGGGCATTAAATTAACCAATCCTAATTGAATTTGCCCAGCCATTATAGATACCTGAATACCTACCAACTTTCTGTAAAATGTTTCTCTAATAAGCCAGTCAGTATGTAGAAATCCTTACTACCTATCTCCTCGTTAAACATGAAAGTGGAACAGCCTTTGCATGTGTTGTGTGTACTGCATGTGATTGTATGTTTAAATTGTGTAATTTCCAGAAATCTAGTTTAGAAGGATCGGTAAGTAAAGAGTTATCACCCATTATAGACGTGACATATTATTACTGCTTACATATTAACTTTTATTTTGTTTATAGTTTAGAGCATAGCATTTTTTCAGCCATTAACAGAAGCCAAGTCATGTGACAGTTTTTATGACGGAAATTCATACTTGTTTTTGAATACTTGAATCAAAAAGAGGTTATAAGTTTGACCTTAAAGTAATTTCCACACTTTCTTTGGTAATTGGCAGTTTAAAAGTTCTGACAAGTATCTATTTTTTTTCTACTGAAGCCATGAGTTATCTATGATGAATATACTTTCCATTGTTATATATTCAAAGTATAAAAAAAAAAAAAAAAAAAAAATAATTGCCTAAAATTGTTTGGACAATCTGGAATCAATTTTGTTTACAGTAGGTATGACATTTGAATATAGCTTTTTGTCAGATATGGCTGGAAAAGTAGAGTTTATGCTCTTAGTTTAACAGGAAAATATTTCTACTCTTTCTCTCTCATATTTTATATTTTTAAGATGTAGATGCAACATTTATATGGAAAACATATGTTTTATTATTTGTTTGTTTATTTCCAATGAGAGATTTTAATTTAAATTCTTTTGTTCAGTTGAACAATCTAACAGAGGAAGGTTAAAATCAGGTTTACTGACTCGGAGGTGTTTGTAGTAGTGTGTGATTTTGGATAGGTTCATTAGAAATATTTTTCTGCTTCTTAACCAGTTTTTATGTTGTTAATTATAATTTAAGAGATTACATTTCACAAAAGTTATCATTTACTTATAGCATGATGTTTTGTAACATTTGTTAAGAATTGATTTAGAGATATCTTGTCATAATTATGAATCAAGATCAACAGATTTTTGCCATTTCTGTACATAAATGTGTCTTTGCTAGAGTAAAGAGCGAACTATTTCAGGGAAAAAAAGAGAAAATTACTCGTATGAATAAAAGATGATTTGAGGTAAATAAGGGAAATCACACTGACAATACAAAGTTTACCATAAATAGATACCTGTAAGGTTGCATACAGCCTTTTTATAGTATGAATAACTTTATTAATAAAAACTATATTAAACCTATAAGGGAAACATACCCCCCAAAAAATTAGATAATTGAAGGATGTAAGATTATCCTTATAAATTCTTTTCATTAACAATACCTCAGATTTATTATAAGTACACCCATTGTTCATGATAATATGTATGCTAGTGTCAAATATACAGTTTAATGTGGAAAAAAATCATCAGTTTACATACTTTATTTCTGCACTCTAACCTGTAGTAATTTGTATGTTCACTAGTTTGATAACAACAAGCTCACCAGACAGAACACAAAGAAAACTAATTCCACTGTTTTATACTAATTGAAATGCTTCTACACAACACCACTTACTAACTTGGAATACGACATTGCTAAGCATTTGATGACTACTGAAATCCTAAGGTTGTGAAAAGCATAATTTAAAATTTTGTACTCAATGAGAAAGGTTGATCCCTACCTCCCTAAGGTATTAGATCTAGAACAGTTGAGAATTCCAGTAATATATGGATACTTAAATAGTCCTTTGAAATTAGGTTTTGGATTCTAGGACTATTCAGAAGGCTTTATGTCTGTTAATAGTTTAGGAATGATAAAACATTTGGAAATGGGTGTATGGTAAAGAAATCAAATTAAAAGCTGCATCAAACCTTTTATACAATTCAGTATTTTCAACAGACTTTGCAAGCAAAAGATGATAAGCCAATTATTTTGTGAGAATGTCTGTACTTACATCTGGCTTTTCATATGACAAAGTTATTTAGTTCCCTATTTTGTCTAGAAATACCATTATTTTCAATTTAATATGTTCATCATTGGTGATTACCTATAATAAGCCTCAGCATAGTAGCCCTTATTTCATATATTATATTCCATATATTACAAAAACATTTTAATTATTACCTATCAGTATAAATAAATTAGTATATAAAGTCGCATGTCTGAATAACAAAAGTAGTAAAAGATATGGCAATTTTAAGCCATTGAAGATAAATCACCCTCTACTGACAATCTAATATGTACCATTTAAGTTTCCATTTGAACATTATTTTTGAAACTCTGTTTTAAAAAAAAAAGGATACAGGTAATTTGAATGTTTGGATGAAAAATAAACATATGGAGGGTTGCAAAAGTGAAATGTTCATGAAAAGTTGATCATTGTCACCTGTTTAGCTATGATATTATACTAAAGCTACTTGGAAGAAATTAAGTGAGTGTACGAAAAAGTAATTATATATGTAATTAATTTTTTTGTAAATCTTAAAAGACCAACATTATTCTAAAATATGGCTAGTTTTCAATGATTTATTCAAGCAAACTGTAACTCAATCATTTGGGAAAATTCCTCTCATATGGGATTTTGGGTACAACACAGAAACCATAGAAACCTAACATAAAACTTAAAAGTTTGTAAAATGAAAACTATTTCTTTTCACAGGTTCATAGTATCACAGCCAGAACATTGGGGAAAGATAAAGTAGAAAAGATCAGATCCATGGCAAGAACTGTCAATCATCCATCTCCATTGGCTGCTGAATCATCCAATCAGAGCAAAACTGGAAAAAGTCAAATAACTGTGACATTAGCTCCTGTTAGTCATACAATTAATTATCAACCTCAGGCCAATCAGATATTTCCAAAAGAGAAAGGAACATATTTCCCTCCTGATCAACCAATCAAAAGGGACATTGCAAACAAAATAGAATCTCAGCCAATTAGCAAAACTAATACAAGTTCAAAAAGTGTTAGAGCTCCTCCTCCACCATGTCAATCAAACCAAAGCCAAACTCCTTCAAAAAATGAAACCAGTGATGAAACTACATCAGAGAAAAAGAAAAATTCCAGAATACGGCCTGGATGCATAAATGCCAGAGCGAAATTTTGGGAGAAGAAGATACAGGGTGATTCTACTGAAGAGGAATATCCATCAATGTTGGAGCAAGTCCCAGACTGAGTAACATTGGAAAGGTATACACTTTTTACCCCGTTTACCTTTTTGAGTTATTTAGAAATTGTTTCTTTGTTCAAATTGGCAAAGTTTGAAAATGTATATTTTTGATTTGCAATCATTTTTGCGTAAATTTTAATACCTCAACGTGTCTGTTTTATTTGTTTTCACTTTTTGAAATGATCAGATTTGTTTATTTTAGGCATTAAAAAAAATGCAAATGTTGACAAAATTTCAGGAATTTGTTTTCTAAACTGAAGAATTGTATTGTTTTTACCCAAAAGTGTCAAACGTTTATCAGTAGGTAATGACAATGATTATGAAAATAAGGAGTTGTGGTATGAAAGCCAATGAGACAACTATCAACCAAAGTTCAAATGAAGTGGATGTAAGCAATTATAGGCAACTTTACGACCTTCAAAAATGAGAAAAACCCATACCGTATAGTCGGCTATAAAAGGCTTATATGAAACAATTTAATTGAGAAAACTAATGGCCTAATTTATAACAAAACAATTTACGCTAAACAAAAATAAAATTTAAATTATTTAAAGTTCAAATTACGATAAAATCAACAATTTTTTCACTATTTTCACGGGTTAACGAGCAAAAATTGAAATTCCTTTTTAAAGGTATGATATGATTAATGATGATTTTTGCTTTAATTGATTTAAATTCTTTATTTTTCAGAAACTAAAAGAGTCTGCCACAGAATGAATACACTGTATCAAAGATTTGTTACGACACCTGCCAAAGATAGTCTCATAAAACAAACTGCCTGATTATCTCTCTTTCACAAGATGGTCTCATTTCAGTTTCATGATTGTCTCCCTTTTATGTATTCTTTCAAACATTAACTGAATCTGTTTTTCTTGTTTAAGGAAACAGTCATGTACTTAATGAAAATTTCTTTTAAGAAATAGTACTAATATAATTTTCTGTTTTAATTTTAACCAAGAATTCTGTATTGACATACTGGATGAATGTTGTGCACTTTTGAGATAAAAATTACAAAAAACATAACATTTAAGATAAAAGTGAAACTAGACAAGACAGTTCAATAATGTTCTCTGCTATTTATGAAATGTAACCAGAACTGATAATTTCTTGATTGATATTTTATTCCTCGAAATCTGTTAATGCATAATTTTGTGTCGGATAATCTTATTATGAGCATTCTAAAATATATAAGTGTACATTATTTATTTTAGGTTTCTGTGTGTTGTTACCTCTTGTTTTGTTCCTTTTTATTGTCCATATGTAATACACTTGTGTTTCTTACCGCCTTGCAGATATATGAAAAAATCCTTGATTATGTCCCTTACTATAACTACAGTCAATGTCTTCCCTTTTCTTGATAAATACTTTGATAAAGAAAAAAAGAAGTCTGGAGCCCAAGCAATTTCTTAAATTTACAGAAAATATACTGATAAAAGCTTTTAAATTAATTTTTTTTAAAATTGACTTTGACAGCTCCATATCGAAATAACATTATACTACATTTTTATATCAGTATAGATTTTGGGTCTTATTAAAGCTGTTAAAATGAATTAATAATACATTGATCTTTAAACAAACTTGCATATATCAGGAATTTGATTCTAAGAGGAGAATTCCTTCATAGAACGACATTGTAAATTTTGTTCTTTGAAGATTTACTGGCACAAAATTTATGGGCACATTTTCAGGGGAGGTAACACATGTCTACTTACTTTTACATCATAACCAGCTATTTCCCTTAGATACATTTTCTTCTCTTTAAGAATTTCTAGCACAATTCATGTCCAAATGGGGAGATAACATGTCTTGTTACTTTGTACCATCCTCCCTAAAAAAGCAAATAGGGTATATAGATTTATATTTTATATAACTAGCATTGCTCTTTAAAGGAACTTGCATATATCAGGAATTTTATTTTTAGGAGAGTAGTTCCTTCAGGAAATGAAATATAAAATTCTATTCTTCAAAGATTTTCTCTCACAACATTCATTTCCATAGTGGAGATTACACCTGTCTAGTTCCTTTGTACTTCTTACCAGCTCTTTCCCTGAAAAGCACATAGAGTATACAGATTTAGATTTGATATAACTAGCATTTGTACATATATATATATAAATTGTTACAACTGGCTGAGCCAGATATGATATTAAAAATAATAATGCAATATATAATATGGGTAATAATTATCATTCTGTTGTAACATTGTTATTGTTGTCATTGTTTGATATTAATATTCATAATTATCTCGTGAATATTCATTGGATATCTTATCAAAACTTTCTATATGATATGATATATATAGAATGTGCAATATTTTATTTAAATAAAAAATAACTAAACAATTATACAACTGTTGCTTTGTCTTTATTCTTTAATTATGCATCAATTCATCTATAGATATATATATGTTCAGATTATTCTGTCCTTTTGGTGTCAATTAGAACGTGTAAACCAAAAAGTCACTCCTTTGTTTCTTGATTATGATAATGAGTCTAAATTGTCATGGTGTTTGAATCATGAATAGTAGGTGATGCTGACCCTGATGATACATCTAGTCTGGCTCATTTTACAGTTCCAAGTGATTCCTTTAGTTTTTATTCCACTGATTTGTATACTGTTTATTCAGAAATTATGGTGTATAAAAATAAGAAGATTTTGGTGTGCATTTATTATTCCAATTTTGAAGAATAGACAAAACTGCAAGATTAATTATAGTAATTGCAGGAAAATCTGCATATAAAAGAAATGTATCAGATATAAATTGTTTTCTACTCATTCTGTTGGTTGATTACGTGTGATTTTGTCATTTTTGATGGACTTCCCCTTTTTGAATTTACCTTGGAGTTTGGTATTTTTGTTATACTTTCTTATTAATTAGATGCTTCCCAAGTCATTACTATTCCCATTAACAAACACCTCGCAATAATTTCTGAATTAACAGTATTCAAAATGAATTTGTAAGATTTAAACATTTGAAAACTACTGTCGCCTCTTATTGAGCACACCTTTCACCTTGATGACCGTGTTTATACCCCTGCTGGTGAACTATCAGTCACCAAGGGTATCCTCATTCACTACGTCTAAAATTGTCTGTTTATAAATTTTGAAATTGTAAAGAAACTAGGGTTTCAACTCCCTCAGGCAAAGTTGACCTTAGATGGATTTGGAAATTTTGTATGTCCTTTTTGGTAACATAGCTATTCGACTGTTTCGGTTCTTCTACATCCTTGGCTTTGAAATATTCGACTTTAAGCGTTCATGATGTAAGTAAATCCAGACAAATGCTTTCTAGACATGAAATTTATAACGCGTTTGGATTTTTTTTTATCTCTCAAGAACATAATTGCAATTGAAACTATTTGGTAGACAGATATTAATTGATTGTTTCAAGTAATCAAATTTATTCTTCATCTTGTGAAAAGAATAGACAATGATGAGACCAAAGTTATAGTTCAAGTCATGACTTTACAAAGTTCATTAGAATTTTTGTTTTTGATATTAGCATTGCAGGTTTGATTTACTTGTTGATTTTAGAAAGATTGAAACTTGTTCCAATTCATTCCTAATGAATCACCTCACAAACCTGGATATAGCAATGTTTGACATAAAGTATATCTATATTCATTCATTTGACGCCCGACAAGCAAAAGCAGCCCTTATGGCAAAAATGATGTATTATTGGATTTTTTATTACCTAAACAGATACTAATGCCATCTTAATGTAAACAATTTGACAACGATCGGTGAAAAACTAGATGAGAAATTTTAATTTTAATTCCACATAAAATTTGTTCTAACGTAAAAATTCAATATAACGTTGGAATCGTATACTTTGACGTCGATTTAAGTTTGCTGCCACTCACAAGGTTACTCCTCTCCTGGTGCTTGACAAAATGCAGCCTGATATTCCTTCCTAGCATATGGACGGACTTTTGAATATAGATATTCATGCCTGGAACGTGAAAGTCCGGCTGCAGGAATAACTTCTATTACAATTTCCATGTTTTCGTGAAGCAATACCATTAGTGTTCATGTGTTTGAGCAAAGATTTTAAATAGAACTCGCAAATATCATTAGTAAGCAAAAATACATCTCGACAAACCTCTGTCGTCAAAAGTATATGCATATCTGGTTCGCTTTCGCTCTTTGTGTCTTGAACGGGATTTATCTACGCCTTTTGATTTTAAATTAGCCATTAAATACATGTCTTTGCCTTCTTTTGACAGTTCACGCATAGAGAGTATATGACTTATCATTTCATCGTGTTCAAATTGGTTGATACATTTGGCAAGACAACCACGATCTCCAGTTATTTTGGCCATATTCAAACCTTCATTATTTATACATGTAGTATCCTCATTTTGATGTTGAACGAAAGCTGCAGCTGCTTGTGCAATTTCATCAGTTTCAGATATATGTTCGACAGGTTCTGTGTCTTCAAGTTCATTGCTTTCATCCTCAGCAATAACATTATTGTCTTCATCTTTGAATGCATTTGAAGGTGGTACATGTAGATATTCGCGATAAATTTTATCTAAATCCTGCAATAAACATATACGCATTAAATGTTTTCTAAACAAACTAAAATATATAGTTTTCTATACTTCAAATGTCCATGTAACTAGATTATACACCAATTTTCAAAGCTGTTATACTTTAGGTATATCATTGGTTTGTCAATTTGCTTGCTAGATTGGTTATTGCTGTTAAGTACGTGAACTGAAATGACATCTGTTATGATCAACATTTAATTCGAAACTCTTTCAAAAAGTAAAATAACAAAAGCACCGAACTCCGAGGAAAATTCAAAATGGAAAGTCCACAATCAAATGGCAAAATCAAAAGCTCAAACACATCAAACGAATGGATAACAACTGTCATATTCCTGACTTGGTAAAGGCATTTTCTTATGTAGAAAATGGTGAATTAAACCTGGTTTTATAGCTAGCTAAACCTCTCACTTGTATGACAGTCGCATAAAATTCCATCATATTGACAATGTTTGAACAAAACAAACAGACATAATAGGTAAAAATGTCACAAATAGGGGTACAGCAGTCAACATTGTTTTATAATCCTAATCACTATAAAAACAAACAAATATATAAACAAAGAAAAAAAAAAAAACATATAGACAAAACACACCAGCAAAAACGAAAGACAAGAACACAAAAATTTACCATAGCACAATAACACGATGACGTGATGTATAAGTACCGAGCCACGTCTAATGGACCTCACCAAAAATAGACTAAACTGTAAAAGTAATAATTTACACAAACAAATAAAAGAAGACTATAACACGTAATTAAGATGATAAACAATGTCAGTATCTAGAATCTATACCTAAAGACCATCGTGTATTATTCGTGAAGTTGATACGGAATATTTATCAACAAGGTCTTGGTATCTTCCGATGAACTTTTTTAGAAAAAGGACGAGACGTTCTTTGACATAACCTTGGTTCATCAACTTTCTGCTCAGACACTAGTGACGTTTTACAAAGTCTGAGTAGCAGCTGCAGGCTCCTGAATACCGAATAAGTTGGGAAATGTATATCCCATATGCAGGTGAAGTTGGTATATTGCTACTAAGGAGGGAAAAATTGATAATTTCAAAGTTATATCGTCTCATTTGTCATAGATTCTGGTACTGAGATGACCGCTGATGTCAAATTCGAGATATAAGTCTAAAAATGAGACAGAGGAAGCCGTGTCTGTTGTTTCTTGAATTTCTAGTTCTGGAAGATATATTAATGGAACCCAATCAGAAAAAAATGGATTGTTAATGGAAAGAACATCATCTATATATCTGCATGTGAAATTAAATGATCTGGCTTCTTTGATCTTCTTGTTTTTGACAAGTGTCTGCAGGAACTCCGACTCATATGAAAATAAGAAGAGATCGGCAAGGAGAGGCGCACAGTTCGTTCCCATAGGAATGCCGACAATTTGTTGAAAAAGTCTTCCTCCAAATTCAACAAATATGTTGTTAATAAGAAACTCCAGCATACTGATCACTTCTTCCTCTGTGAAGCATGTTTTACCTTTTTGTTCACTATTAACAAAATATGCCGTATGGTATCCCAAAGTAATACATTTATAGCGTATGCTACCATTTTTATGTTGAAAAGCATTGTGGATTATTTCTTGTAGACGATTTTTCAATTTCACATGTTGAAATGTGGTATACAGGGTTGAAAAATCAAAAGTTTTGATAGAACTAAGTTAAAACAAAGATCGAGATTTAAAATGATCCAGAAGTTCTTTTATAATCCACATATGGTTAATACCACTACGCGAGTAAACAGTTTCACAGTATTTCTGAAGACCCTCTTTCACTACGGACAGAATTTTTGTCAATCTTATGGACAGTTCTTTCGTCGAACATGCAGATGAGCCAGCAATGTACCGTTGTTTGTACGGAATTTTGTGAAGCTTAGGTATCCAATACAAACAAGGTACGTCCTCCGATTTGCTGTTCAATGTATTGTTCATTGAAGCCATGAAAGACTTATGATTCGCCAAAATCTCATCCTTGTCAAATGATATGTTTTTGTATGTGGGAAGACACTCGTAGTTGTACGATTTACATACAAATACAATATAATTTGAAACTTTGTCCACAGGAACAACAACATACTTATCGTGAAGAGATGATAGACATTTCACAGCTCCTTTGTCTCTGAAAACGGACTTTGGTCGATCATTCACACAGTTTTTCAACTTATGAATTCGACGTTTTATCAGAGACCTGATTGTTTTGACCTATTATGACAAAGTGTCCAGTTCAACTTCTCGTTTAGCTCATGCTCTGGAGTAGTCCTCAATGGAATCAATAATTATTTTGAAGTTATGGTTCCAATTGATGTGTTTGGGGTTCTCTAAATTTAGGACCATGAGATATCACCTTTCGAAGATGTTCATGTTGAATTATGTTTAGATCCCCAGTAATAACATGGTCAGAGGGACTGTTAATAAAAGGCGAGTGGGAACAGTCACATGTCAGAGGGTTTTGAGGTATTCAAGTGTATGTCAACATTAATTTACCAAATGCCTGAATTCACAAACTGGCTGTAGCGGTTCTTTTCAAGTTATAGTGATATAATATTATATCTTTTCTATGTTAATTAACATATGCATATATTTTCCTCTTACAGTTAAGATAACCCAACATTTTGAACACTTATTGCACCGCCCTTGAACTCAAGTAAATGTTAGATAATTGATTTATTTGTTTTTCGTTTATTATTATGCCTCCCGGGCCGTAACTGGAGGGGGCATTAAGTGTTACGCTTGTCCGTCCGTACATATGTCCCATAATTGGTTTCTGTCCTCTAACTTTAGTTTG